AGTGATGGCAGCCATGGCGTTGCTATGATAATGATGATAATGTTAATCATTAAATTGTTGATTATATCCATATACATATGTACATAGCTACTATGTACGAGTATTTGATCAGTTCGAGTACACCTGCAACACCACGAACACATGCCAACATGCACATTGTCACACATACATATTTATATATATCATGTATTGTATATAACATGTATATTGTATATAACAGGTCAATTTATCTATATTATCTAACAAATACATTTATACATACACGTATGCGTACATATATGCATTTTATGATAATCATGCATGTATGTGTGTGTGTGTAAATGTATCTTATCAATGTTTAAATATTGAAATCGATTTATGCCAACTAACAAAATAAACTGAAGCCACTTACGATTATTTCCAACCATAGTTATCTACTTATATATGCATGCGAAAATGTATATTTAATCACATAAATGTGTAAATATCTCCAGTAACAGGTGTAAAAGATAATTTAGCACGCGACTAAGATATGCATAATGAAAACAAAATAATCAAATGGAATTGAAATAACGGAGATCTTTCGAAATACACGCTTACACCCTTAAAAACTAAAAAATTTTACTTTTCAAAAGCAATCTTACGAAGTATTTAACTCGCTTTTACTTGTACAACTTTTTACAAAACCAACATTCAGATAAAAGGTGTTATTTTAGATTTATGCAGTTTATCTTCTTGGCAGCTGTTTCCTGATTTATACTCAGTTCGGACGGAATTGCTCCGGAACAACGTTTACAAATCGAGCATATGCCGTAATGTATATCACGTATGTATGTAGGCATTGATAGCAAAGTATTTAGTACTGGAAGCGAACGAATAAATGTTTTATTATCATAAAAATCAAAAATTGCCCACTATAGGAAGCGCATAAATTTGCATGTTTGACACTTTGGCAACTTTTCACAAGGTCTTAAAGCATTTGACTACCTTGAGTATAATAAATAGTACTTCATACTCATACTCATAATTCAAATACGCGTCATATTGAAAGTAACTGTGTTGCATTTGAATTTTTTGTTTTTTACAATAAACTTTGGGAAATACAGAATTTTTCAATAACTTTTCAAGAAATATTTTATAACTGTAAGTTCGTACTTTTTTAGTGATATTTGCTGAAAGTACAAGGTTATCCATTTTTCGGTTTCGAAAAGAAATGTGTATAAAATGCATTCAATATGCAATATACAAAATATACATATATTTTTTCACTTATGGAAAAATCTAAATGAAATAAAGGAATTGAATTTTCTTTACTGAAATTTTTACTAAATAGAAGAAAATACTTATGAAAACATAAAATTGCTTTAATTCGTAGAAGTAAGTTGCGCAAATTCTTCTTCAATTGGCTATTAACCAATATTATTTTTTGTCTGACCACCCAGCACTGTGTGCCTTTGCGAATCCGCCCAACTCTTTTTTTATTTTGTTTTGTGTTTCTACTTTTTCTCATGCCCGCAGTGTGATTTTTTTTAATAGTTTTTAGTAATTAATTGTGAACAACAATTTACCTAGTTTTGTAGGTATGTATGCTTATATGTAAGCGTAAGTGCGTTAATTCCTACATGTGCTAAAACGATGCGTTGTTGTTGTTAGTGCGCTTGTGTTTAAAACTAATAATGCAATGTCCAGTTTTTATTAAAAAAAAAAAAAACTCAAAAAGATTTGTTATTTAGTGAAAATTAATCAATTCGAATATGTGAAAGTTATTTCGAAATGCTGGAAAATTGTCGAAAAGAAAAAAGTTAGCGGAAAAGTAATATTACCGAACGCAATACCACTTACTACGCTTCAATCGACGAAATTGCGCATTTTTTTGCAAATTATTTATTTCGTTATTTTATTAACTTTCATAAATATTATCTTTTCAATTATTAAAAGCACTTGGGAATATTTTCTCTTAAAATAATTTACACGCACGCAAATTAAATACTTGTTTGTTTGTATGTACAAACTGAAGCTTAAGCCCCGCTTTAATCCGGCTGGAAGGATCATGTAAACGACGGACGTCAGTCGTTCATTCTGAAAAGAATAAAAGAAATTAACGCCTGAAAGTATAGAGGATTCCAACACAACTCACCAACCAAGCTATAAAGAAAATAGCGGCTATATTAGAGCACCTAATAGTTGTTGGTTAATAATGAATTGAATAATACAATAATAGATTATATGGCTGATGTTGGCGCAGGGGTAAAACACTCACCTGTTAAGTCAGGATCCGTTTGTTCGATCCCTGCCACAAGAAGTCTGATGAGGAGATGTGGTGATCTCCTAAACAGCTGTCACTTCTACCATTTTTCTTTGTTGTATAACAAATATTCAATTCATACAAACAACAAGGTCTCGTAGTTTACTTAATAAAACTAATATATAGCATGGCCGCAAAAACAAATTATGAAATCAAATTTATTTAATTTCGATAGGTGTTTAGTTATGTATGTGTTTATACGAAAAGGAGTACACGTGGTGGAAACAATAATCGGATTCTTTACTTACACTTTGTAAATTTGGGCAATCGCTGTGTCAGGGGTCGGGGTATCTTCAAGAACATGCAAATCGGAGTTGAATTTAAGCGATTTGTAATATTTTTTAGTCGAACCAATAAAATGCTGATATTAAGAAGAATGAACGGTAGCTATGTATTTACATATTTACTTAAGCCATTTGGTTATTGGCCTAAACACGCAGTGCTAATATTTAATTTTTATTTCGGTCCACTTTGTCACTACACTCGTACTTTCGTTTGTCTGAAATTCTATCTTGAACTCAGCGTTGCTTTGTGTTTTACTTTCCATTCTTTGTTTACTGGAAATCAAATTGTCAACTTTGATTTCCGTTCGATATCCGATGAGTCGAACAAATAACACATCATCGTCTGAGGTAAATGAAATGTTTGGTAAGACATTTACGTTGTTGGTAGGTGTGAATGTTTTAACGAAAAACATACATACATAAATCAAACATTACCAATACTTCAGACATTGCTGAGCTTGTTTTCATATTGTTGTTGCGGTTGTTGTTTTTTCTCTTTTGTTATGTCAACGACACTTCGAGAAATTGCAGTGCCTAACAACTTAACTGAAACTAGAATTGAGCACGCTTCATACGAAAGCTTGTTTGCAAGTACATACATACATACAAATACAAGAATTTGTCAACACATGGAGTTCGAGCTGGAAATTCTTAACATCGGTATCCTTTGCTTGATCTAGAAAATGAAAAGTGGAGAATGTTGTTGATACAAATTTATATTAACCTTACAACAACAGCAATGTAGTGTGCTTACTTATAACATTTCGTAATAACAATACTAAAAGAGCTATTATACCAGAGTATGTATGTATGCACATATGTAGGAATTTGTAAGGTCATATGCATATATATATATACATATATATATAACATTTCTACGATAATACTACTAGGCAAGATTTTATTGTTGGTGACAAATTGATTTTTTTGTCACCATTCGCACATCAATAGGTATAGTTTTTGTAGTTTACCGCAAGTGTTCAGGTGTTGGAAAGCACACTCTAGGACAAGCTTGGTTTCGACTTGTGGCAATTTTTATGTACGGGCGTATGTATATTGCACTGTGTTTTAAAATAAATAAATTAACAAATGTTAAAATAATTGAATTTATTATTTTATATTAATTTTATAAAATTAAATTAAAATTACAAACACAAAAAATTTACTGTCACAACCTTTCTAGCAAAAAAATCTATATATTTATATTTTGGGCAATATTTTTTCTTTTGTCAATAATGGTTTGTTTTGAAATATAAATTTGGAAGTTTATCAATTTGTAATTTCAATATATTATACGTGCACATACATATATATGAACATATGCTGCGTAGCGTTTTGTTCTCGAATCATGCGATTTGTTATTCATACATACATACACGTATATAGACATTTTAAAGGAAAAACAATTATTATACAGTATTTTTGGAGGAAATTTTGCTCGACAGCATTTTATATTGAACGGTATTTTGGCTGTAGGAAAAGCATTCATTGAAAATAATTTTTTTGCACCAAAGCTTTTCTGTTTTTTCTTTCAAATCGGGTTTACATACTCGGAATTATTTCTGTTAAATTTCGAAAGTTACACGAATTTAAGCCAAATGTACCATCTTAAGAACAGATTGAGATACATTTTTGCTGTATATTCCATATGACTATGCTGAAGCTAATACATAGGCGACGGATGGGTGTAGTTATCACGAAAATCCCTAACCACGGTTTTTTTGCTCTCCTTCCATTTACGACCATTTGTATAAGTTGAAATCCTGTGGATATTTTTTAGGAGTTTTCTTTAGGAATCGTAGTTAGTTTTTCATTGCTTTCTATGGAAAAGTGAATATAGGGTTGGCTTGGGTATGACAAATCACTGAGATTGACGTAGAGCTCAGTGAAGTTACCATCGATCATTTCTACAGAAATTTAGTCGGAATGAAAAGAATGGAACACTGTCGGCGATGACGAAGTGACGATGTTGACGCAATTTTATGGGCACGTTTAACGGAAATCCCACGTCAACAATTGGATTCTCCACATTTCAGACGGTTACAACTGACAATCGTACAAACTTATTGTTTAGCACTTGCCAATCTGTTTCGTTGCGTCTGCTCCACCTCTTGCTCTTCCACTTCTGCTCACTTTCCGTTTGTTTGCTTTAAGAGCTGACTGTTTTACGACCGGAACTTGGGCCACGCTTTTGAATACCCAAAAAGCAACAACAAACTTTGTCGTCAATGACATTAAGAAAATAAAGCAAATACTAGGCAAACAAGTGACACTGACACAACGCCGATGACGAACGAATGCGAATGACAATAGCAACAACAGCAAATAATGCGGACTCACCCACCACAACACACCAGAGAATGAAATATCAGAAATCACACTTTTTAACTAAATCGTCCGTCAGCTCATTTTGATTTTGAACTTTGTTGCAGATGGAAGCACAGACGCAGCAAGCTCAACAACAGGTGCAACAGCAGCAACACCTTTTAGTAAATATCAAAACGGAAGTGAGTAGTGCTGAGCCACCATCGTCTGCCGCATCAATACCAACAACAAAGTCGGTGACATCCACCGCTGATGAGCATAATCAAACTACACAGGACTCAAAGCAGCAGCCATCACAACAATCTGCTGTACAGCAACAGCAAATATCGCAGCAACAGATCTCTAGTCAATCAAAGCCTCATACGCCACATCAACAACAAGAACAAAAGCAACAACTGCAACAACAACAGCAGATCCAACATACACCCATATCTGTGGCTAGCTCAGTTGCCTCAATTAGCGGCGCCCAGACGCAATCCAACGAGGAATACAGCATACCGTTGCCGCGTAGCACACAGCAGCGCCGAATATTGACTACAGCAGGCACATTGTAAGTGTTTCGAAATATGCCTTATTTAGAAAGTAACTAAAAATCATTTTTTTCACTTTATTCCACTTCACGCACAGCGAGGAGAACGATAACCGTGAAGGAGATCAACCCGACTCACAGACCGAGTACCATCACCAGACCCCCGCCGACTACGTAGTGATGGCTCCACGTAATGAAGAGCACCCTCCACCAGGCACTGCCGTCTACACATACGCAACGACACAAAACGGTCAGCAAATTATATGCACGGAAACTGGCACAGCCATAAAACTTGAGGATATCGAAAAGGATCAGCAGGCTAGTGTGGAAGCGCAACAACATCAGCAACAACAACTGCAGCAACAACAGCAAATGCCACCTGGTAGCGGGTATGGGGATACAATTGTTGTGTCCGCAGCAGCGTTACATCAACATCAAAATCCGCACGGCGTCATCAATGCCTCAACCCATGGCGGGCATCCGGGCGCACCACTGCGTTTTGAACCAGATGAACGCTACAGTAATGTCCTGCAAGACAACGGCAACGTACAAACGATCTATTATAACCCTACGGTGGTGGAGTCCTCTGCACACCCAAGTGAGACAAAGACATTTACTGATCTGGGCAATTCGGAATACTATGCGAGTCCCCCAACTTACGCGCTGCCGCCGCCAAATAATGGTCTCTACAGTGTGTCAAGTTCTACACAGCTTATTTGTAAATCGGATCCAAATTTGGGCGCTATGCGGCAACCGCCACAATTTCAGTCATTAATGGAGTCGGGGGTACAGGAGCAATCCATGTGGGCACCGTCAAGTGTGGAATTTTCCGGTTATGTAAGTATTAGCTATGACTATCAAACGTACATGTGTATCATTGCAAGTGTTCTTGGTCAAAGCCGTGTCCACACACCCACACACACAGTCACACACACACACAGACAAATTGGTTCTTGGCAGTTTCATTACGTACTGTATTTATCTGAATTCTAAATTCCAAATTCTTCACCTTCTTTTGCTCCCCCAATCAAACGACAATATTATAGAATACATATCATCATCAGGTCGTTGATGACTACGGCTCTGGCAATATGACTGCGACGCACTGGCCAGGCACCGGACCAATTACTGCCTATGAGACTTCCCTGGGGCCGACCATCTATGATGCGCCCAAATGTGACAATTGTGGTGCACTCTACATACGGAAAGGCAACGACTTCTACTGTCCCACTGGCTGCAATCAACTGCGTCCGACCCACGTGCGCATACCTGCTCGGCAAGCGAAACCCAAAGTGCAGGCCAATGCCAATAATCGACGCACCGGCGTTACGTGTGCCAATTGCAATACAACAACAACGACATTATGGCGCCGCAACAACGAGGGCAACCCTGTGTGCAACGCCTGCGGACTGTACTTCAAGCTACACAATACCAACCGCCCGCAATCGATGAAGAAGGATGGCATACAGAAGCGCAAACGCAAGCCAAAGAATAATGGCGGCATGTCGACGATGAAGCCACTGCCTTGTAAGTATGCCACGTGCATCTAACGCCACTCCTCCCTCTTACTACCACTTACAAAACTTCATTCGCTCACTCACTCATAGTAAATGATTTTACACACGCAGCACTTCCTGGCATGCCGCAGAATGTGACGTTGATGACACCTAACGGCACAATTTATCCCTCCCAAGTATCGGCTTTGAGTTTGCCCATGAATGGTGGCGGTATTGCAACTAGTATTGTCACTGGCGGTGGCCAGCAGCAGTTGTCGGGCGAGATACGTGATATGTCCCTGAGTGCTAATGCGGCTGGCGCAGGCGCTGGCTCATTGTCCGCCGGTAATGTTGGGAGCACCGTTGTGGTAGCTAGTGGCGCGGGCAGCTCAGTAACCGGCACCGGACCGCGCAACGTTTCGATTGTGCATCACGTGACCGGCGATAGTCACTCCCCGTACAGCAACCCACCATCGCAAAGTCAATCGCCGCATCTGTCCAACCCGTCGCCACTGAGTCGCCAACAAATTTCACAAACGTAAGTGTGAATATTATATTTTGCTCGTATTTGTTAATAATTTTCATTCTTAAATCCTTCCAGTGTGCAACCGATTGAAGCCACGCGCCCATCAAACGGGGAAATACCCACAAGCGTCATTACGCGCACTGGGCTACCGGAGCGCTCCTCGAATAACTGAGAGGCATTATCTGCCCTTCATTCTCTTCTAACACAATCAAACTTCCTTCAAAAGCTAACAAAAAATGGACCTAAGCTTATATTATTGTTGGCCTGATGATCTGATGAGCTAATAATTATAATTTATACACGTACGCATGATGAGTACAGTTAACTTTTTAAGTGCCAAAAAATATTCTATTTAAATCTGATTACAAAAGTATTTATGTACCAATGACTTAGAGCTGGTAGTTTAGGAAATAGTAGGTATTTAAAATAGTTTTTTAAAATAATATAAGTAGATTATTATTATGTATCGTATGTGTCGTATTAGTGATAAATGTTTAAAAAAATTATACATTTTTCTTTGCAACGAAATAGCTTCGTAAGACGTCAAGGAAAAAGTCCTATGACAGTAAGGAAAATGATACTCCAAACTTTATGGCAAATTATCCAAAAATTGTTTCAAGCGAGTCGGTGCATATCTCTGACAGACCAATGGATCCGAAACTCTGACCTGTCAATGTCGTTGAACCTTACCCTCTATTAAAACCTTGAAACAGAAGGAAGTGTAGCTTTCCATTATTTACGAACAACAAATCCTTTAATTAAAGATCGAAAGAAAAAGTTTAGTGAATAGGAAAAGATTGAGCGCAGATCACTTCACTAAACGCGAATATCCAGACACTGTAACGCTATTATCTAGATATAAAGTATTTTAATTGCCATTTGACAATTACTCTCAAACGAAATTAGTTTTGAAATATATACATATATATGTATGAATATCTCCTGGGGCTTATGGAAGTCCATTCCAAAAAGTAAGCTTTTTGCAATAGACGGCTTTAGTGATCTGAAACTCGGGTTCGCTAAGTGTGAATTGATTAAGCTAGATGGCATTAGAAAGATGTTATTTTTCACCAAAAGAGATAACAGTGTTGATCACTTAACTCACTAGTATTTGAGCACATGCCAAAGATGGACACCAGTATTTATGGTCCTCATACTGTAACAACCAATTATTCCCAATTTGGTTTCTTTAAATTCGTTTCGGTAAATTTGATGTAAAAGATGCTCCACGGCGTGGAAGATAGTGGATATCGTGGGGTTTGAGCATCATGCGGGCGCTACTTCGGTTGCCCAGCAGCTAAACGTTGCACAAATTGCACAGTTTGGAACCACTTGGAAAGGATGGATACACAAAGAAGTTCGATGTATGTGTGACAAGCGAGAAACGAGAGACCTCATCGACGGCATTCCATTGCCTATTCGCTGCTGAATCTTAAAAGAATCTATCCATCTCGAAAGCGAATGGCAACTGGTGACGACAAGAGGATCACTTACCACAAGGTCAAATAAAAATGGTCGTGATCGAAGGATTGCAAAGGAATCATCCACAATAAGCTGCATCCCTTAGGCTAAACTTTGATTCGGACCTGTACTGCCAACAATTTGATGGTCTGAAGAAAGTAATCGCCCAGAAGAAGGGGAATACATAAAATAAATTTGGCGTGTAGTGCGTACCAGAACAAGAGCAAATAGACTCTCCGAAAATTATATCGACTGGATCAGAATGACGACGTAACTTGATTTAGCCATGTTCCTATGTCCGTCTGTTTGTATGCGAACTATTCACTAAACTATATATATACAGTGATCATCAGTATTCTCGATTGGGTAGATTGGCTGATGGTTTCTTATGAGGAGTCTTTATTTTTTGTCAGAATACTCGATTTTTTATTTAAATTAATTTTCTATAAGTTTTTGGTTATTAGTCACCAGGATTTGAACCTGAGCCTTTTGAAAGGCAGTACGCAATGCTAACCACTCGGCTACTTCTTTATTGTTATAATTACTTTTGTAAAGGATAGATGTTTCTCTAGCATTCTAGTTATTTCATTTTCGCTTTTGCTTTTGAAAATATGACATGAAGTCCAGATATGCGATGTTTTTGTTGCATGTGGGAGAGATTGATGTCGTTAGCTTTCAACTTTAGCTTCTGTCTCTAGGCCGGCATGAGCTCCTTAAGAAATTAAGAAGTCAAGTTTTTCATCGAAATTCGAGGGTCAACTGGTGCTAAAAATAAAAAGGGACTACCTAAAATTGCTCAATTCTTCTGTATGAGCATCCCTTCACAGGTAGACTAAAAGAATCAATATCACTTATCCACTGTGCCACCACTCGTCCAGCATACTACTTTGGTGAAGCTAACAACAACAAACAAACAAAAAAAATAAATAAAAAATTCCCCTTCTTTAAAATGTGCGAATCCATTTGGCAGTAAAATATTTTGTAGACACCTTGGTTGGCGTATAAAAATAAATGAGTTATAAGCCAAATTATCGTTAATGACATAATTTATTAATTCCCAAGCAAATGCGGCGCTCGGCCGTCAAGAAATGCTGGCCTCCTGACATCTTCGCCTGGAAAGATACTCGTATTTCATTGTCAACAATTTGGCAGCAACCAAATTGAACCAAATTAATTTTAATGACCGCAGCAGAAAGGGTCAACAAAGGAATATCAGTGGAGGCAGAAACAAAAAATGCTGATATATTACAAAAACAAACTATGTGAACCAGAGAGCAAATAAGAAGGCGGCAGCAAAGATATAAATAACAACAAGAAAATAAAGTGCCCAGGGAGAAAACATTTGCGGAGAGAAGCGAACGAACGGATGAAAGGGCAGTCGCACGCTTGAACGAGCAGCGTGCAATAAAAACAGAAATCCTAAATAGCGATTTGGTGTCATCGCTTAAAAGCCTTGCTCAAATGCGACATAACGGCAAGCGGACATAGGTAAACAGACAAATCATACCTCTCCCGCGCTTATTCATACGCGACGCTTGTTTGCCTTAGGCTGCAGCTGAATATTGTTGGAGTGAAGTTTCGTCATTCTCACCTTAACACACAGGTGTGTGTGCGTCATAACGCCACCAGTGCTGATGACAAATTCGGCATTGACACCGCCAACACTGCTCCTGGCGGTTTGGCCAGCGGGAATGGAGAATGTGGAGGAGGGCTTTCGCCGAGGCACATTGGTATGTGTAAGGAGCTGATTGCGGAATGATTTCAAAGCAAATATGCAAAAGGGTTTCTTAACGTCATGCCTCAGTGGCATACGCGCGATCAATTAGGCAAACTTGTTTTACGATCGTTTTAACGATCTATAATACGATGGTTTGGCAATGCTCGTTCGGGCGACACTGTACTAAGCACGTTCTTAATCACTTCGTTTCTTTAGCTGACTTTGTGGAATGGAATGTCAGCTATGAGCCATATCAATATCAGTAAAAATCTAAGAACATATACATATGTATATATAAATGTGCATGTATGTAAAGTGAAATTTGCTCTAGCATTTGCAAACTTAGGCCGGAATTGCTGGTTTATTCATTGATTTTGTAATATTCTTGATGAAACCGTGATGTCCAAGCATTTAAACCAAGCTTCAGAATCGGACACTTTATTTTAGTGATTCCAATGAGACTGCGACGTGGTGATCTCATTAAAGCTTCTTAGCAAATAGCTTCTAAATTCCTTATGCCACCAGCAATATCAGATATGACCTTGGGATTACCTGTCCCACGTTCTAGTTTTCAAGGGATCACCTTTATGTTATACGCCAGGTGGAAACAGAGGCTTTTGTTATATTTAATATTTTTAAGCCGAAAAAGTTGGAAAACATATTTACCTCAAGCGAGAGCAAACCGATTTCGACAAACTGGCCGCAATAGATGAGTTGAAGTTGAAGTGAGGCGAGTTAGAGTAAATTGTGGGTCCCTCAAATTGATGGAAAAACATGAAGACGCTCACTACAAATTGAAAGCGTCATTTACATATACTTATTTGTACGAATATGTGACGATGTTCCATTCTAATTGGTTCTGCTGATTGTTGTACCAATGCAAAATTTAATCATTTTAGGTGAAATTAGCTAGCTTTCAGCAATATCGTTTTCTGTGGGACCCACCTCACACATATACAAACGCAACCTAATATTATTTATTGCAATTGCTAAATTATTACACAAAAACGATCGGCGACTACTTGCTGCGTGTAGTGTATGTATAGTTGAATACGGTTGATATGATGGGCTGATTTCTCAAGGCTTTATCTAAGCTGAATAAAATATTTTAAGCGCGTTCTCTTGTCATTTGTCTGCTTGTAAATTCTTTATGGAATCAAAGCGATCGAGACCTGTCCAGCAGACCGAAGGCTTTTGTTTTTTAATCTCTTAAGTTGCTTAAGTGGCGCCTAAATGCAGTTGAGGTCGTTGCGTCAGTATGTCAGCGGCAAGTTGAATTTTAGCTTTTAAGAGTGCGTCCCTCTGTTGGACTTTAGCGGAGACGGAGGCACGGCAGGCAGAGCAGTAAGCCAGTACTCGCACTCTACATCGTTACTGGTCATATAAAAGAGAAAGAAAGTAAAGGAAAAATCAAAATCATCAAAAAGTGGATGCAACGCGTAGGTCAAGATATGTGCCCTACATACATACATATGAGCACACACACATACTTTATAACTTACATAACTTCACGGTGGCCACTTAAATATTTAATGAAAGGCAACGGCGTTGACACTTAATTCTTCTTACTACGTTTTTTATAGTTTTAAATGTACAATACATACATACATAACGAAATGTACATGCATTTGTTCTCCGCTATTTTAATACGAACACATCTATGCTCTTACATACGAGTATACGGACATGCAAATTAATACCTGTATTAAGTTTAGTGCCAAGAAGCGAAACATTTAATCGGTCACACTCCTCCACAGCAATTGCTTGAGCTGCTGCTGCTGCAGCTGCTGCCAATGCGCCGAAATGAGCGCTGAGGAAACTCAACGCGTTCAAAGCAATCGCGTGGTCTGCTGCCTGGAGACTTGTTAACGCGTCTGCCTTGTGGGCAGTGAGCACATCGTGGCTCAAGTGCAATTAAGTTAAAAGTTGTTATGGCGACAATTCAATTCATCGCCATTTCGCTAAGCACCATACCATGCGGCGCTCAGCGGTGCAGTGCAAACAGCGACAGCGAGAGGGAGGATGGAGTGCTGAATGAGTAAAGGTGCAAAATGTACAGACCGCAGTGACCACACATTAGTTGACGACTAAACACCGCCTTACGGTTGAGGCACATAGCACAAGTTTGATGTGGTTTGGCGTGGCGCCATGTGCTACCCCGAAGCCATTTGTCATAATTTGCGATTAAGTTGACAGTTTTTTATGACAACTGCCCTTTGGAAAATTGCAATTACAACAATTGGCGTGCAAACACCCAACCCAAGTATTTGTATAGTGCAGATATACATATGTACATCTGTCCTTGTAG